CCGATGTCTTCTCACCTGCACTCAGCCAGGAAAGTGAGGCTGAGTGTGTCTGTCTTTCTAAGTGTCAGGAATGGCAGCTAAGGAGTCTGCCTTCAGCAATGAATGTGTACGATGTGAAGGAAAGCCAGAGAAGACCCTCACAGCAGCTCAGGCAGAGTGGATGAATAACAACTAAGCATTTAGAGCTCAGGGTTTTTCCCAAAGGCCTGAAGGACAAGGGGGTGGGGTGAAGGGGAGAATATTGAAAAGATATAGGTAGAAAGTGAGGAGGAATCCATGGAATGGGAGCAAACTGAGACACGATTTCTGCCTGAGATTCATGCCACTGTGGACAATGTGAAGTAGGATGCGGATGCCCTTCAGTTTACGCTGTCTGAGTCTCTCTCTCTCTTTCTCTCTCTCTCTCTTTCTAGTAAGTATTTGGGCCTGCATTAATTCTAAGTCTGCAATGGTGCAGAACATCATGTTTGTCAGAGACCAGAGAGGAAACATACAAAGTGGACACAGGCTGGAGATGGAGTGCAGTTTGATACTGTGCTTGCGTAGCATGAATGAAGCCCTCAGTCAGCTCCTAGCACCATATCAAACAGGGATGATGACATACACCTGTAATGCCCGCATTCATAGGGCAGAAGTAGGAGGAGCAGATATTTAAGGCACATAATGAGTCTGATGCCATCCTGGGCTATGTGAAAATCTGTCTCAAGAGAGAGACAGAGGAGAGAGAGAGAGAAATCAGGACAAGATGTATCTTTCAAAGACACGTGTGTCTGTTTTCTCTAACTAGGCTTCTCCTTCCATGGCCCTACCATCTCCCAATAACTTCCTCAGAATTTGAATCTATGAATGGATTATACTATCAGTTAAGCCAGGGCCCTCATTATCTAATTGTTTCTGGAAATGCCTTGAAACACCCAGAGTTGTGTTAACTGGGATGCTAGGCATCTCTCAGCTCCATCAGAATTGACCATTACAGTTGAGAAGCTGACACACAAGCAAACACTTCCTTTTGTACGAGGGTGATATAAGTGGCCTGCCGCAGGAAGTGAGGGCTTATGCTCTTTATTTTTCCTTGTGTTTCTCATAATGGCACAGATCTGTGTCCATTTATTCATCCTGCCTTGATCTATTATTGTATAGTAGAAATTCCTCTACCCTAGCATTTCAGGGACTGGAAATCAGCCTTTGTTTAGACTCTAGCTAGTCTTGTAGCTTGGATATCTTCAAGTTAAGAAGAGAGGTTTTTGTGTTTTGTTTTTTGTTTTTTTCTAATTCTGTAGCCCCCCCCCCCCCCCCATGCTACCACTAATTTTTGACAAAGGCTTAATGGTAGCAGGCAGGATTAGAGGATAGATTCAATTGTACCAATATTATGGTTTGAATAGATAATGTTCTCCAGGACATTGCTATTTGAGCGATTGGTCCCAGATGTTGGCAATAGTTTGGGAGGCTGTGGAAGCTTAGGGCGGTGGTGGCTGGAGAGAGCAGGTTGATGGGAGTGGGTCTGCAGGGGCATTTCATCACTGGTAGCTTCCTGCATTGTTCCCTGCTTTCTGGTCCATTACAGAAAGAGAGCTTCTCAGATGTGCCACATTCACTGGGATGGGCTGCCCCCTCTGAAACGATGAACCAACCTGAGTCTTTTTATTCCCCACAATCTGTTTCCTTCAGACATTCCATCACAGCAATGAAAATGAACTAAATCAGCATGTTAGCGTGCTTTCCCAGGATGTCAGGTGCTCGAAGACACACATGTGTAAGACCCAGGCACAATCAAGGGTGAGTTCTCCTTGTTAATGATCGTTTCCTTCTCGACCACTCAAGTGTGCTAAGCAAAAACCCATTAGGTGGCCTAGCAGGGGAACCAAATTTACCTGAAGGAAGCTGTGATGTTCTCAGAAGCCTCCCCGAGAACCCATAGCATGAGCCCATGGACTCCATCTTAACTACGTGCTTCGGGAGGCTCTAATCTTAGGGTACTACTTGGTTTTTGAGAGTCTCATTTTGTTGGGGATCAGTTTAGAAGACAGAAAAGTTATAAGAAAAATGTGCTTATAACCATATTTAGGGAAAATGATGGAAACGAAGGTGGGGGGAAGCAACGTGACATTTATCAAGCCGTGTTTACAATTTGAGCCCATGTCTCATTAACTCCCCTCCCCACACACTCAATTCACACACCGGTACACAAAGGTGACACACAGCTGGTCTGTCCACTACCACCTGTTAGATTTAACAGAGTGATGAAGTCTTTCTATTTATTTATTTATTTAAAATAAAAAAATTAATTACAATTTATCCACTTTGTATCCCAGCTGTAGCCCCCTCCCTAATCCCTTCCCACTCCCACCCTCCCTCTCTCTTCTCCTCCCATGCCTCTTCCCAAGTCCACTGATAGGAGAGGTTCTCTCCCCCTTCCATCTGACCCTAGCCTATCAGGTCTCATCAAACTGGGTGCATTTTCTTTCTCTGTGGCCTGGTAGGGCTGCTCCCCACTCAAGGAGAGGTGATCAAAGAGCCAAAAGTCTTCCCCCCCCTTTTTTTTTTTTTTTAAATAAGACTTGTATTTCAGCAGAGCCCCACTAAAACTTTTCAGTTATAACAGTTTGTACATCCAAGTTACTGTCATTATTTTTGCTGGATGCAAAAATAATGGGACATGGGACTTTTATGTTCCAGGGCCATATATAACTTTCTTTGAGAAAATAACTTAGCTCCAGATAGAAAACCAAAAGATAATTTCTTACTGTGACTTTTCCTGTCATATAAATGATAATAAGTGTCAAGTAAAAATGTCTATTGTGAGGGCTAAAAATATGCAGTAGATAGAATTCAGTAGGTACTCAGGGCATGTTGGTATCATATTTCTTTATTTTTCTTTTTTCTTTTTTTTTTTTTTAATCATTTTTCTTTAAGGTTAAAGAAGGGGAGGTAAACAACTCAGTTTCTCAACCCAGGAAAAAACTGAAAGAAGATGGAGGGGAGTGTTCACACATGCCCAAGGGAATGAGGGTGGGTCTCTTCTTGGCATGGCAGAATTATACATGACATTACAAAACATGTAGCCTTTGCAATTTAATGGCTATGGAATTTCCTATGGCATGATGGTATATGTCAGCCTGTGAGTTAGGATACGTGAGTCACCAGGCAGATTGCTTCCCCAAGACAACTAAACAAGCTAAACTGTGTAATGGGGTTCAACCTGGGTCCTAATTACAAAGTGCCAGAAGCATCTTTGCTCTTCGGAAAATCTCCTGATATAAAGAACCCTGGTCATATGAGGATATTGTCACTCCTGAAATGTCCCATGGCATTTGATACTCCCTTGCAGAGGCTTCTTTCTGTGTTTGGAATTCCTCCCCACCCTCTATCTGCTTGGCACAGTCCATTCCTAAGCCTAGGAAGCCTTCTGAGTCTCCTTCACAGTGGGGGAGACGCCACTCTCTGTACTCTGAGGCTGCCAGGCTTGCTGCTGTCCCTGTGCTGATCCCACTGTCTTCCCACTGGGTTCCCCAGATGTCTTCCCACTCGTCTCCATGCTGTCCATGGACGGACAGTACATCCTTTGAGGGTCTACACAGTCTACAAGTGTCAACAAGTGGATGAATTCGTGGATTAGAGCGTAATTCACATTATCCTTTCTTCCCGCTATCATACTCTGCTATAAAACAAGTAGCTATGTTTTGCAGGGTAGTTAGGGAAGTTGGAGTCTTTATAGGAGAAGGGAGGGGTGACGTGTGAATTCCTTCCAACTTGACACTTAGGTGCTCTTTTGAGCAAATGAATTCTGTTAGTAGATTACTAATGATAGGAAGGGTCTTGGTTCTTATGAAGAGCAGGTTAGGGTTGTACTTTTTAAACATCCTCACATATTAAAGAAGAATAAACTAGCAGTTCTAGCTGAGTGAACCTCCCTGCCAGGGCTCACGTTGGCCTGGGGCCTGCCAGTGTTGTCACACCGATTCACGCCTCGCTGAAATTCTGTGGGTGGCTCTGAAGTGGGGCTGAGTGTGAGAGGAAGTTTTCTCCGTGAGGTGGACAATATTGTAGTGCAGCATGGAGCGCAGCTAGGACATCTAACGTTTTGTTGAGAGTGTCACGTCTAGTGTAGGTACGTAATTGAGGAAGAAGCCTGCTTACAATGAGCTGAAGCCTCTTGTCAGTGAAGTCATATACAAAGGATGCTTAGAAAAGCCTTACCCCTTTCAGAGGACCATCTATAGTAGGTTCCCATCCTGTTCCTTCTCTTCCACCTCTTCTGGTGTCTATCCTTTTGGCCATTCTGAATGAGATTTAAGCATCCTCCCTAAGGCCCTCCTTGTTGTTTAGCTTCTTTAGGTCTGTAGATTTTAGTATACCTATATTATATGGCTAATATCCGCTCAGTCTCTATGTGGGTCTCCAAGTAAGGGGAGCAGGGGCTACCTCTGTCATGAACTAAATTGCCTATTCTTTCTTTGATCACCTCCCCCTGGAGATGCGGCCTTGCCATGCCACAGAGGAAGAGGATCCAGGCAGTCCTGATGAGACTTAACAAGCTATGGGCAGATGGCAGAGGAGGAGAACTCCTCCTTCAGTGGACTAGGGGAAGGAGATGGGGGGGAAGGAGGAGGGAAGGTGGAACTGGGAGGAGTTGAGGGAGGGGGCTTCAATCTGGATATATAACAAATGAATTGTAAAAAAAAAAAAAAAAAGTCCTTCCCCCTTTCAATGAAAACAAGACTCATTCATCAAAGTTCCATGTAACATTGGAAGCTCACATTTTTTGTAAGATTTTTGACCAGTTTTTGATGAACATATCACCTGAAAACCAATCTTCCCCGCTTTCCAGGATAATCCTCCCAGGGGCATGATTTATGAAATAAGTCTCTGAAGTTTTGCCTTTCAACTTTTCTCTTTGGCTAAGCCCACCAGAGAAGTCAGGGCCGAGCCTGCATCAAAGTAGTGCTGCCCTGCAGCATGGCTGCTACGTTAGGCAACAGGGAAAGGTGTCTACTGACCTTGTGAAGTTCCACGGGAGTTGGGGACATGATCTCCTTTATCTCTTGCTTCATTTTCCTCAGGGTTACAGACTTCCTGCCCACATCTGAAGGCAGGGTGTTGCTTCGAGTTGTTTGGCTATAGTGTGGCCGTGAACTGCTCCGTTCCTGGAAGCTGGCCTGTCGCCCCAGCTGACTGCGAGCGGTTGGAGCCTCATGATTCAAACTCATAGTGCTCCCCGACATGATTGTTGCCTGTGGCATTGACAATTTTCAGAAACAATTAAACCACAGAGAAGGAAAAGGTTTGCTTGCTCAACATTAAGCACGGTTCTCCTTCTGCCCAGTCAAAATATGGTGTCTTCAGGGCATAACCAAAGGCTGGAGAATGGATGCACTGACTGAACTATGAAAGTCCGGAACATGCTTTGCAATTACGTTTATAATGCACATCTCAACTCCAATGGAAGTACTTAAGCCCCTGAGTTTATTTAATCAAATACCACCCCTAGCAATGTTGAGGCAAATTGAAAAGCTCCAACATTAGTTTACTGCAAACTGTATTTTAAGCACTAACTCTCCACTGAGTTGGCTCTAAGAGCTGGGATTCGTGAAGCCACCTTCAGCGTGTTTTATAGATGTGATCTGAGTGTTTCTTGGTGGAGGCAAGGCTACTGATATCTGTAATGTTGCCTCTGGCTCCAACAGAAGCAACCTGTAGGCTGGGATGGCATTACTAATGCAGAGGCAGAGGGCTCTCCTAACTCTTCCTGCCTGACACTGTCAAGAGCGTCTTTCTTCGGCTCCAGAAGCTTGTAAACACATCTTTCAACACTCATAAGCATTTTGGCTTCTACATCTCATGGCACAGTGTTTCTTAGAAATGGTTTTGTATAATATTCTTGGGAAAATGACCCTTTTATATTAGATTCAACACTTTGGTCAAATGCTATGAGACTTGAAATGGGTTTTACCAGGAAAGGGAAGTTTGTTCAGTTTCAGATATATTCCCTGAGTAACAGAGAAGCAAGATTACATCCCAGATGACTGGATCTTAGAAGAGGGACAGCGAAGGATCTGAAAGCAGTACCATGGTGGGAATGGACATCTCTCAGTTGGAGGATGCCAAGATCCTAACAGGACTGCAGCCAACTCTATGTTCCTTACATGCCGCCCATGTCCATAAAGGCTACACTGGTAAATGTGCCTGAAGCCACGGACACAGACGTTACGTCCGTACTCATGTGAATAAACAAAACGTGCTTTGTTTACATTTACAAAACCCATAAGCAACAAAGCTTGATTTGTTGAGCTTTCTAAATACACTCACTAATTTAAGCCCATAAGTCTATAAGGTAGGCACTACACCCCACTTTATAGAAGGAGACTGGAACACAAAGAATTTGACTTGCCCAAGGTCATACAAGGAACAATTGGGCCAAGGTCACTGTGCAACTATTCATTAGTGGGAACACTGAAAAGTGAGCAGTCTCTTTCTCATTGTCTCTATAAGAGTTTGTAACTCTCAGCTGATGTCCAGTTCATATATGTACCACTGAGAGAGTAGTTACACAACTGCCAAGTATTGACGTAAATACGCATGGCTCTAACAACTGTATGAAAAAGAAACAAAAACAACAAACACGTATGGACTAGACCACTTATGTCATGGATGCTTACATTCTAGCTGCAGGTAAATGCTTGCTGATGACTGAAGGCTGTGTATAGTGTCACTCAATAACGTCATAAGTAGGCACTACAGGTCTTATTCCTTCACGAAGGGAAGAAGTTTGAAAGAGACACGTGGGTAGGTTTGGTAACTTGCCAAGAGTCTGGTATGGGAAGCCCAGAAGTCTGGTTGCAGTCCTTGACCAATGGGCTCTGCAACTTCACTGACCACATAAAACTTTTACCCATTTGGGCAAAAGCCACTAATGTTTAAGCAAATGTAGGCATGTGTAATATGTCATGTTTCCGATAGATACCTTTATTGAGGTTTATTTACACCTCTCTGATGGCCAGCTGTGTTGGTGTCGTGGACATCTTTCATTTGATGACACTTTCGTATATTGCTTCTGTGTTTAACCTGTCGGTAACTGATAGTATGCAGTGATATTTTTTTCCTGCACTGACAACCATCTATCCATTATTACCCACTTACAACAGTTATCTTCTGTGTTTATATCTATTTTTTCCTTCTCCCTCTCTCTTTTTGTGAGATCCACAAGAAGTATGTGGAAAATAAAACAATTACTGAGGCTGAGAGCTAACAGCCTGGCTGTAATGAGTCTGAGTTGCCAGAGGAGACAGGGCAAATGGATTTACTAGGGGTCCCGTGGAGCAGAGAAGAGGGAAGAAGACCCCATTCAAGTTTTCAAATGATGGCTGGATTGTTCATTTAACTGAAAGTCAAGGGAGTCAATAGCATCTTAAAACGTTTATAAAAGCTTAAGTACAAATAAAATTTAAACATTTATCTGTTAAAAAAGTTAAAGTAGCATTAATTAAGAAACAGCAAACTCAGTACTTAATTTTTATTTCATTTTTTAAACATCAGGTTCTCTACTCATCACTGTGCTAAGTATTATATTACTATAATTTTTATGTTTTTTTTTAAACCATTTTTATTTTGAGACAAGGTTTCTCTGTCTAGCCTTGGCTGTCCTGGGACTGGCTCTGTAGATCATCACCCAGAAATCCCTATGTTTTACATAAGCAATAGCAATTGCTTGGACTTACTTTGAGTTTTTAGCTTAAGGGAAGGCCATACATTTTTCAGTACTAGTACTGGGCCAAAATTATTTCTAGCAATAATGAAAATGATTAGTAAATTTTCATTTTAATGAAATAATTTTAGCTAATCCATATTCATAAACTCCATAGTTTGCCTTAACTTTTGGTGCTGAAGTTAAAATTTCATCCACAGGATTCTGGCTTTAATAAAAACAGAACAGCTTTCCCAATCAAGAGAACAGAATTCATTTAAATTAGTGAAGTTTTTGTGATAACAGTGTAAATACGAATTTAATCTATGAACCTTGTGAACATTCCTCCTAGCTGAAATTTAATTTCTCTTGGGCTCATCCCATTTTCTTCTGCATTTGTAATTTCTGGGGACACATCACATAAAGCCCTGACGGAAGCACCTGTGGGCTGTGGTGCCTTACCTCTGGGAGATAATTCAACTACAGATAAATGACTCAGGATCATCCTGTTACTTTTTGCAGCACCTTCAATGAACCCAATGAAGTGAATTCCACAAGAGAAATGTATCAAAATGGAAAAGGCTTGGGTGCCAAAATACCCCATGTGAGGACACTGCCCCAAAATAGTGAATTGTGCTGGAAGGCTCCGCTCAGGAGCAGATTGACTTGAAGCCAAGCATGGAATAGAGCTCTGGGGGGGGGGGGAGTCTTGTGGAAGTGTTGGGAGCAAGATGGAAGGACCTGGAGGGGACAGGAACCTCACAAGAAAACCAACAGAGACAACTAACCCAGTCCCATGGGGGCTTTCAGAGACTGAGGCATCAACTAAGGTGCATGCATGATCTGGACATAGACCCCCTGCACAGATGTGGCTGATGGGCAGCTTAGCCTTCAAATGGGGCCTCTGGCGAGTGGAGGCAGGGGTGGGGGAGGTTGCTGTTCCTAACATGGATTCTATTGCCTGCTTTTGGATCACGTCCCCTGGCAGGGCTGCCTTGCCCGGCCTCAGGGGATAAAGATATGCTCAGTGCTGATGTGATTTGATGTTCTGGAGTAGGTTGTTGCGGGGAAGAGGGGCTCCCTTTTCTGAGGGAAAAAGGAGAGGAGAAAAGTGAAGGAGGGGAGAGAGGACTGGGAGGAGAGGAGAAAAGGGGCACCCTTAGGATGAAAAGTAAATAAACTTAAAAAAAAAAAAAGACTTGTGAATTGTGCTACTTCAGCCTGGGATACTTGTCATTCTATGTACAAGGGGTGGTAAAAGTTTAAATAAACCAGCTGGCACTTAAGAATTGTGCTCTTTAAAAAAAACTGTATAAAAAAAGAAATCAATGGCTCACATCTTAATTTAAATTTTATAAGTCTATCCATGCCCAGGTCCTTTAACTGTGCTCTGAAGCCAAAATTCATGCCAGGTAGTACTATGGTGCCTATAAATTCAAACTACGGTTTTCCTTCAGAATTCTCTTTGCAAATTCACAAACATTAGAATCACATAAAATATCCACACATGCAATTGAGAAGCAAAATAATATAAAGATGAGTAACCATTTTAGAATCGCAAGAGTTCCACCCTGCTGTGCCATTCGCATTCCTTATAGTGACTTGGGGACCTCATATGACATCAAAACAAAAATGAGACTTTCACCACTTTACTTTTTTATAGCTTTGAAACTTTAAAAGAACATAAAAGGAAACATTCCAGGCCTTCCCAGATTGAGTCTGAATACTGTCAGCAGCTTCATAGCTTTGCTTCAGAAACTGCCCAGAGTTCAGCTACTACAATCCAGTTTGCTTACGGAATATGGGATCAAGACTTTTCAATAAACAGCAAAGCAGGGAATAATATTTTTGCTTGCTTATTAAATAGACTGGTCTTTTTAAAAACAGCCACATGATTATCAACTTAGGGATAAAGCAGAATGTAATTGTATTTCCTCTTATGTTCCTCTTAACGGTCAAATTAATTTCTACACCAGGTACAAATGAAAACATGCCAAAGAAACCTTTCTAAAGCAGCTAATAGAATGAAATGCACCACTGTTGGGGAACTGGGCTGGCTCCTTAGCGATTTGGTGGGAAACGGGTACGCTCAGGGTTAGCAGGGGAGCAATGGCAGAAGCCACAAGTCAGTAAGAACTGCATTGTACAAAATCAAACTGCTGTCTGGAAGGCAAGGGCAGGGAAGGCGGCTTCACAAGCAAAAGTAGAAACAGAAAGGGTAGCTACCAAGAGAGTCATGTTTCTCAATGACACACGCCTGTCGGCTTTCTCCTGTGAAAAGGGGTTAAAGCTTTTAAATGAACTGCTGTGATCAATGCAAACGTAAAAGGACCAAAAACAAATGAATGTAGAAACAATCAAGATAAGCAGCGGGACTGGGGCTACCTCAAGCTCTCGAAGGATCCCCGACTGGCCACAGGTCTCCAGGTCCTCCAGTGCTTGAGACCAGAAGTTTTCCTCCTGCTCAGCCTCCGCATTGTCAGAAGCCCCTGTGAAGCTGCCAACAAGAAACACATTCTGGGTTAAGGAAGACACACACACACACACACACACACACACACACACACACACACATGCACATACCCTATGGTTCTCTTGCTTGGGACTGGTGGCTGACATCTATAATCCTAACACTTGGGAGTCTGAGGCAAAAAGAATCGTTTCAGGTCATCTTGGCTCCATACGGACACTCCGACTCAATGCAAAGGAACTCTTGACAAATCTTACATGTGACTTAGTGTGAAAACAGCCTTTAGGGGCCGGGAAAGGAGCTGCTTGTCACAAAGAGAACATGGCTTCTAGAAGCTCAGTTCCCCCAGTGCTACTCTGTGAGACTGTACTGCTGCCTGGTGGGACCCAGCTATTCCTGGGCAGCACACATTTAGAAACCTTCTATGCGGCTGATGTGGATGGACAAGGCAGTGACGTCACAAGGTCAATGCTAACAAGAGCTGCCCTTGGTTGCAGGGAAGTGCAGCTCCTCCCTCTGAGAGCTGAAGTCACCCTGGATGGTGACAGCAGTGGGGTGCAGACTTACCCACTGGCTGTGGACCGATCCCAGTCTTCATTACTCAGCCCCACATCTGGGTAAGTCTGGCTTCGAGGCTTGGGGACTGGGGACAGGCTGCCTCTCTGTTTTGGACTCCTCCAATCATAGGTGTTGAAATTGTATCCTGAAGTCTGAAAAGTCGTGCCTGAAACAGAAGCGAGGCATTAGAGCTGGCCCTGAGGAGCCTCTCGTCGATTGAGGAACGATGTCATTGGCTGGCAGAGGGTTGGACAGCAGAGTAACAGCAGGAACATGAGCAAGTGCACAGTGGTACTGATCCTGCATCACTGCTCTGAGAGCTTTCTTCACATCCAGCTTCGGTCCTAGAATTTTTGCAATTAAAAGATGATGCTAAACGCTTTGAATAGTGGTTTCCAGTAGCCAAGCCTTCCTGGGGCTTCAATTCACAGTTTCAGTAGAACCAGTTTTCAGGTCCTTCAGTACCACGCATGTACCTTCGTCTTCCCCTAACTGTCATGGCTGACACAGGCCAGGGCTCTAGATCTACCAGCCCTCACCTCTCCTTTCACAATTATTCCACCATGTTTCAGTGACAAGACTCATTTCTCATCCAATTTAAACCCTGGAGGGTGCTTGGCGTGGCGTATAAGAATCCTCAGCCATCAAATCCCGGGATAGGTTGGGAAAGCTTAGCTCCTATAAGCAGGGCACTTGGAGGCTGGTTGCCACAGCTGAAGCAGGCAGACCCAGGGCAAGACCTTTGTCCCTCCATATTGCCCTGCCGTCTGTCTCTCTCTTAAAGTCAGAGGTAAGGAAGATGCCAGCATAAGGTGGCTTAAGCGTTAGTATGTTCATCTGTATTGCAAAACAAAGACTGACCTCTCTGTCAGGGGGTTAAATCTGATAAGCCTGAGGGAGAGGCAGTGGAGAAATGGAGAGCAGAACAGGTTACACATTGCACATCACCCTTGAATGTGAGCTACGTCCACAGCAGCAAGCTTTTGACAGTACTAGACGGAAAGGACGTTTCTAAGTAGGCAGAAGTTACATTCTTTGCAAGTATTTCAAGGAAGGCATCTAGAAGGCAACCTCAAATATGTGGAGGAGTATGTAGTTTTTCAGTTATAATTTTTTTGGAGTATACTGAGAAATCAAGGCCATAGCTATATGCATAGCTCAGACTGCACAGCTTATATCATAATTATCACACATTTCTCAATCCATTTGCTCAGGCTGTGTAAACACACCCATATGGCTTAATACCAGATGCGTGTCTTACTGTATTTAAGGAATTCAACATAACATATAGCCCTGGACCCCTGTTTTCACCATTTGGGGCTAGAACTTGGGTAATAAAAGGTGTCAACATTTATTAGGTCTGACTGCTGGGAAGACAATGTTGAGTAATCTGGAAACAGTAAGGGTGAAGATCCAGTCATACGTAATAAAGGCTATTCTCTACCCCCAAATCCAGCAATTCATTCTCTCCACTCCCAAGGACACACTCTGGCCTCGCTCCCTACTTACATGTGCTCCTCCATGCAGGGGGAGGTGAGTCTCCCGACCACCCAGGTTGAGACAATCTGGACCTATGGCTGTCTCTGCTCGCTCTCTCCCACCGCAGCTGGGCTGTGTGTAAGCTAGTCAGAATCTGTGAGATGTCCTGACCATTCCTAAAGCTAGGAAATGTCTGAAGGATCCTTACATGTCTTGTTCCAGATGCGAGTCCAACAGCTGGAGCACTGCTAACTCTTGGGATCAAGAAATGACCCCCAGGATAAAGTGCTCAGTGAAATACAGCAGAAATATTTAGAAACCCAGATCCCCAAGCACTGTGGAGTACATGCTTAAAACTGAAATCATATCACTGTCAGGGCTTGGTTTAAGAGGGGGAAAGTGTTTTGATTCTGGCTGGAGGAGAGAACTAGCTCCTCTACTAAGTGTACTTATCTTTGCAGAAGCATGCATATGTGTGTGCACACACACATACAAACACACACACACACACACACAGACAAACATGCACACACACAGGCACATAGGTGCACATATGCACAGAAGCGCGCACACACACGCATACACACATGCACAAACACCCATGAACATGCATGCATACATACATACATGCACAAACATGTACACACATGCACACACATATGCATGCTTTATAGATAACTCCAATTTTTACCTGTTAACACATTTTGAACTGATAAATAACAGGGTGGATAACATATGCAAACACTAATTATTTTTAAGGTATCATACTAGGGACCAACACTTGCTTAGAAAATAATGAAGAGCCGGGGACATAACGGAATAAAATGCCCTGTAGAGAGGCCCAGGTACAAAGTGTGCTATATTAGAAATTCAAGGCCTTTGACCTTAACATGTAATATCAGAGAACCAGCAAGGGAGTATTTGAGCTGTTTGGTTTTTTTTTGTTTTAAAGAGTCTGTGACTATATTTGGATTTTCTAAATAACACTGCCAGAGCTATGACATCAAACACTCACGCAAAGCAAGAGTTCAGTGAGGACCTGCATGTGACGCTGCAGACTTGAGGGAGGCTGTGTGATGAAGGCGACGGTGATGCCGAGACACCAGAGATGCTAATTGACAGAAGCAGTGGGTTGAGATGTCACTGAGACACCACGTGCCTCGGCCGGGGTCTGGGCCAGTGTGAAGCAATACATCCCCGCCGTGGTTAAACGTAATCATTCCTGTTTTCGTTTATAAGTAGCTGAAACAGGCAGATGTCAGTGCAGTGACTTAAAGTGCCGAACGTTAGACCGGCGATAGCAAGCCTGTTTTTAGCGGTGAGGTGATAACAGAGCCTCAGGAATGATCGTCTACCCTGGGGTCAGACTGAAATCAGTGGTCCATGTGCGTGAAAAACAAACTGGAAAAAATAGCACTAAACCTTGTTTTTACTGTATGGCTGTGCAAGTTTGTGACATTGAAACACACCTATGATATTGGAAACTACATTTGTCAGAGTGCATTGTGTTTGTGTGTGCTGGAGATGTGTGCGCATGCACATGAGTGTGCGTGTTTGTGTATGTCAGAAATTTTACGTCTGGTGTCTTTCTCAAATGTTCTCCAACTGTTTTGTGGGACAGGACCTCTCACCTAACCTGGAGCTTGTTAACTGGTATCTGGCTGGACAGCAAGCCTTAGGAATCCCACTGTTTCATCCTCTCCAGTGCTGGGATGCCCCTGGGTGTTTTCCTTGTTTCAATGTAGGTAGAGAGCCCAACTGGGCTCCTTATGCCTGTGTGGAATGCACTTTACTAACCGAGTGTCTCCCCAGATTCTGTAAATTGCATTTTAAGTAAAAATTTGATAAAAAGACATTTAAAAAATATATATGTTGTAAGTAATCACTGCTTTGATTTAGAACTGGAAACCTTTATCCCTCTCCTTTCTTTATTGCTTCTGCATCTTGGTTTTAATATTGAGGTTTATATTTTGTGTCATAATGAGGGTTTAAAATTCAGTCTTGGTTCTTTCTGATGAGTACAGTTTCATTTTATTTATTTGCAGAATGGAAGATAAAGCTTTGCAAATGTAGGTGCTTCTAAATTGCCTTGGCATGGTGATTTTTATTTTTAGGGATAGTAAATCTGAGATATTTGTAAAGTCCTGACACCCCTATGCAGGTGCACTTGGTTTTCTGTATGTACTTCCAATCCATGGTCTTTAATTTCCACCCAGTCTTCATTGGGAAAGGAAACTAAACAATGTTGGCTCCTACACATAAAGCTTGAAAATGCTTTTTGGGAATTTACTCCCCAAGTTTATAAGTTGGGAGCTGTAAGTCTTGTTGTTACTTGTATTCTTGGAAACCAATTTTAGAATAAGAAGGCAAGCCAGATAATCTTGGCCAGATTTGTTTTCAAAGACCCAGTAATGCAAAGAACAAGAAATTCAAATCGTATGCTTGTAATTGTTCTTGCCAATAAAATGGTTTATGTGTCTGGATGAACACAGCTTTAAAGATGGTGGTGGTGGGGGCAGTTATTCCTGCTTTCAGACATCACCTCTGAAGGAAAGGACAAATAGCAAAATCCAATCCTGTCTTCAGTAGTGTAACAGGTCCATAATTTCAAGCCAAAATATAGGCAAATTCAGCGAGAATTGGGTGGTGTGAGTGTGTGTGAGTGAGTGTGTGTGTGTGTGTGTGTGTGTGTGTGTGTGTGCGGCTGAGAGAAGACTCCTCTGGCCAGAGACTTGTAGAGACCACTCAGCCAAAGCAGAGGCCATCACTGGGGCAAAGCAGCAATGGTTTCCTTAGAACATTAGGATGCACTGAATGGGCTGTTGGCTGCAAATACCCTGGACCCTGTCTATCACCAGGAGAAAGACAGGAGGACTGAGAGAGGGCACATACGGATAAACAGGCTATTCTGCCTAGGGACCTCTGCAACTTCTGTTCCCCACCAGCTAGAGAAGCCCTTGTCCAGTTACCAGTGTGAAGCAGCTAAGGGTTGCTAACCTAGAACACAACAGGGGGTTGCGGCTAGCCCAGAGCTCTAGCAAACTGCCAATTCAGGGTGGATTCATTCACTGGGGTGACAAGCGACAAATTAAAGAGGATGGGCACAAGCTATATGCAAAGTTTAAATCCAAAGAATAGCTGTGGGAAGGCAGGAAATAGGGGAGGAAAGAAGAAAGGGAAGAAGACAAAGTATAACAGGAAAAGCCTGTCATAAGCAAAATGCTGAAGGTGAGTAAATAGAACATCAAAAAATTAGTAAGTATGCAGCATCATCGGCTGTAAAACTAGATGCCAAAGAAGACATTCCAGAACTCGGTGGAAACGAAGCCAGTTGATGGTGATGATACCCAAACATGTAGAGATCTGAGGCTAAATGGAAGTAAGTTGGAAATGCCACCACAGGAGGACAGGTGAATCTGTGTGCTCAGTACAGTAGTCTGCATGCTTTAACTACGTCTTCAGAAAATTTGGGCTCAGACTATGCATATTGGCATCTGTTCCTGACTTTTGCCATCATGCAGAACCTACATTTCTAATGCACCCAACTCAATACAGGAAAGGAACAAAATCCAAGAGACTGAATAAGAGAGTTAGATCAAAGGCAAAATTCCATGTCAAAGACCCAGAGTGAAAATAATAAGTAAACACAGCTGACCATTTCTGGGGGTGGGGGGTGGGGGATAAATCAATCCACCAATAATTGAATCATATAAAAATTAGAAACAAATATACTAAAAAGTATATTATATTAGGGATGTGTTCAGAAACTGAGACACTAAAAGATTTAATCAAGAGATTACTTAATTATATACAAGTGTATTTAACCTGAATTAAAAAAAAGACTTATTTTTCTAGAGAAAATGCAAATGGTAAAAGAAAGCTCAAACAATTAGATAAATTCAGCTACCTGAGCTGAGAGTCAAGGATTACAGAGCTCCTAAGAGCATCAGTTTCCCTGTGGGTGAAAGTTCAGTAGGTGACAATTTGCTGTCTTTTTTAAAAATTATTGATTTTTGCTATAGCCAAGCATATTCAGGGTTTCCTCAGTTAGAAGGAGCAGTAATTAAGACCCAAGGGCCCAAAGATCCAGATCTGGATAAAGAAGACTAGCTTGGGCCAGCAGATAATAGGAGAGAAAAAAGTCACCCCAGAGATGAGTAGGAGAAGTTTGTATTCTGAACCACTCATTAAAATCAAGGTTGGCCCACTGTAGCATTTCCTTATTTATCCCGTTTCCCCCTTAACTTTTGGTAATCTGTATCACTTTCTTTTCCATTGAGTAATATTTATTGTTGTTGGTAGTTGTTTACTTGTGAACTATTAGGCCCCTCTATGAAAACAGACTTCATCCTGTTGAATTATGCTGGACCTTAAATATCTGCTGAATGAGTAAGTGGGAGATTTTGGTGACGTGGTGGAGAGCAATAACGAACGTGGTAACCAAAGACACAAAGCCATCAATTCTTTTGCATTGTGGGGGTTCAGCAAAACTGAGGCAGCTACAGGCTTTTAAAGGAGACAGAGCCTGTGTGAGGGCTTTCTGGGATAGAACAGAGTCCAATGAGAGGCTGGAGGGACAAGTTGGAAAGACTAGCTCCATGTCAGAACATGATAACAAGAGGAAAATCAGTATCTTTACGCTTTGCTTGTAAGAGGTCTGTTACAAATAGTCACAAGCTGAGTACACCTGGCTTTCACCCAATGCCGTAAGAAAGAAAAAGAAATCAATACTCAGTGCTCTCGATGAACAGCAAGTTCAAAATTAAGCGATTACTGCATAGTTTGATCCAAACCCCTGTGTTGCTGTGGGTGGCCCGGGCAGGCTTGCTGTGCTCTGAGCCACCAGTCAGCTAAGCACACTTTTCTGATTGCTCTCCTCGAGTAAGCTCCGTTAAAATGGACATACCAAGAAGAGAGAGAGTCACAGGCCAATAAAGAGGCTCCAAAATAGGTGGGAGAGCAGCTGAAGAAATCAAGCTATTTTGCTTGAAGAAGGAAAGACTTAAAAAGAGAAGTGATAACATCTTCCCACATCTGAAAGGGCTCTCCAGCAGAAGGGGCTGGAGCTGGATCTAAATCACCTTGAGGCGTAGCTAGGAATAACAGACAGAAACCAAGGGCGGGGCAGATTTCAGTCTTACACAGTCAGGAGCTGTCAGAGATGCTGGAGAGGGAGGGAGGGCAGAGAGAGCCTGATAGCTCAGTGCTCAGGGACACACAGCATGCCCACACCCAGCAATGCTGGCCACAGCCCCAAGGATCACACCGGATGTCGACTAGCTGGCCTCTGGGTCCTCTTCTCACACCGGCAGAAAGTCCAGTGACCTTCAACTTGCAGTTTCCTTATGGAGATTGCATGGGAGTTGTTACATGAACATGTTTAGTAAACTCTTAAGCTGTCTACTGATATAAGGCATTGTTAGATTTTTAAATTATCTTAACTCTGCCCGATCATCATGATCTCTACCTGCCTCTTAGTTTCCTCAGCCTTATAAAGACATTAATGTGTCACTGTTAAATTTAATACTACTGTGACTGTTATTAAAGTTTTTGAAATGCTTCATAAGTAGCTTTTCATCTTTTACTAAGGAAGGACAGAGAACATATTTCATACGCCAATCACGGTCCTGGTTTTATGGTGTAAAGGGCTGGAATAGCTGAGTTCTTACGTATCATTTCATGGGGCAGAACTTATTATCAACAGTTTTCTCACAAAAATGTCTGTAAAAATCTTTCCACATTAGTAAAAAAATAAATCAGCACACCCACTGATATATAAACCTCATCTACTGTGATAAAACATGACTAGAGTCCTTTATCTAACACCTCCTTATGCCCCAACAATTTTGGGCATTGAAAACGTGACATTGGGTGGCATGGCTAACTTGTCCCAACGCCTTATGACTTGGAAGAATTGCCAGATAAATGAAGGATTGAATTTTATTTGTGGTACAGGCTGGAGAGCTGGCTCAGAAGAGGATCTGAGTTTGGTTCCCAGCCCTCACCTCAGGTGGCTCACAACTGCTTGTTACATCAGCTCCAGGGAGATCTGACACCTCTGGTCTCCTGCACTTACATGCACATACTCAGCACGCAGTCACACACACACACACACACACACACACACACACACACACACACACCACACCATAATTAATCTTTAACATACTTGAGGTGTTCGACATATTTTTTCCATCAATTTCTAATATCATGACAATGCAATAGCTTGAAAAACTGATGTAATAGGGGTCTTTTTTGAGACTGAGACTGCAAACAAGGATCATTCATGGAGATAACCTAGAACCCCTGCACAGATGTAGCCCATAGCAGCTCAGTGTCCAAGTGGGCGCCCTAGTAAGGGGAACAGGGATTGTCTCTGACATTAACTCAGAGGCTGGCTCTTTGATCACTTCCCCCTAAGGGTGGAGCAGGCTTACTAGGCCATAGAGGAAGACAATGCAGCCAGTCCTGATGAGACCTGACAGGCTAGAGTCAGAGGGAAGGGGAGGAGGACCTTCCCTATCAGTGGACTAGGGGAGGGCCATGGGAGAAGAGGAAGGGAGGGCAGGATTGGAAGGGGATGAGGGAAGGAGCTACAGCTGGGATACAAAGTGAATAAGTTGTAATAAATAAAAAAGAAATTAAAAAAAAAGAAAAGATATGTCCTTTCAATTTTTTTTCACCTATCTAGGACTTGACAGAGAGTGACACAACAAAGGCAGGCTAAGCAAAGAGAATGGGAAAACCAGAATGAGAAGCAGCTGGATACACACTTTCCTAAAGGATAGTTATAACTAAGATACCAAGTTTTGTGCCCTCCAGGCTGTTTGTGTTATGGATGTCAGTACCATATGTCTGTGAAGACACATCTATGACACACCCTCACATATCACAACTATAATTCCATGACAATTAGCACTAAGGAAAACTTCAGTTCTTATTTAAGCCATGCATGCTCATGAATCAATAGGGTTACCAGCCATTGGTGATTCTATTGATAGCAATCTCAGAAAAATCCCTGCCTGTCTTTGTGAAATCTTTGCTTAAAAATACAATGCGATGGGACCTGTCTCCATGAAACCGCTCTACAGTGCAGTCTGTTTTCCTATCCACCTAAGCTTCTGCACTGAGCACTTGGCCTTCAGGACCCTATCCATGTATATGATAAAAGCCCATAACTTACAAGGAGGAGAGAATTCGAGGCCAGCAGGTGGAAGGTGTTCAAGGTGGACACACTGAAACAGACACGGGTTATAAAAAGGCATTCTGCACGTGGAACAGAATCTTCCGTACCTTGACTCCCATAGCTGGCATCTAGTCCAGACCCATCCCAGGAGTCCACAGCACTGTCCACGCTGGGCACAGTGGAGGGGTACACGTCAGTGAGCTTGCCAGGCTTCTGTATCGGAGAGGGTTCCTCTTCGGCATCTCCTAGGTCACTCGAGTGGCTGGTGATAGGGAACTTCTTGGGACTTGATGCTGGTTGGGCTTTACAGACAGGGAGAGAGAGTGTGCATCAGTGTAAATTCACATGAGATCCTTGAATACTCTAGCTAGAGAGGGATTTCCCTAGAAACACACATAGACACCTGCACATTCTCTTAAGGAAGGAAATACACTGGAAATCCTTAATTGGGACTCTCGCCCCACTTACCATCTGTCTGCTTCTTAATTTTCAGGGTGACAGTCTCTCCTGCCATCTGTAGCAAGTGGATGGCTTCACTCAGAGGCTTCCCCTTCAAGCTGCTGCTATTGATGGCTAGGATTCGGTCTCCAATGTGGATCGCTCCAGTCCTGGAATACCAGACAGGGGTAGGGAAGGCAGATGTCCCAGACATGGGTAGACCCAGAAGGCAGGGTAGGAAAGATAGACATAATCCTGGCATGCTTCTTGGGGTAAGTTTCCCAGTATTCCTGCATGCTAGTTATACTAGAAACTTGGCAAGGTCTCTAAAATTTACTTCCAGCTCTCTCTTGGAAAATGTTATGACCTGCATCTGTTGTGAATTGTTTTTTGGGTTCCAATAAAATCAGAAAAAAAGTGTTTTAATTAGTTTTGAGAATGGACTTGGGTAATTTTTAAACTCCAAGAAAGCTGAGTCATTTGGTAAGCTCCTTATAGGTCCCCAGGAAATGAACTCTGTTGAACAATAAACGTAGCAGTGCGTAGCAGCCAACATTCTTGATTCCCACAAATTTAAAATGTTTAATATAAGATGGTGCTCATCTTACCATAAGACAGGTTCAAGAGGCTGAGACATAAATGAGGCAGGCACAGCCGCAGCCTGGTATGATTCTAAGGGTTGACAAAGGCTTGGACTGAAAGGCCTATGTAGTGCTAAGTTTAAGGCCATCTCTGTCATCCAGCTGTGTGACAGTTATCTTATATCAAGCTCTCTAGATATTAGTTCCTCACAACTACAGTGGGGATAATAATCTCATAGGAAAGCCCTGAGGATGAAATGGGAAAGCGTGTAGAAAAGCTTGGATTGAAATGTGGAAAAAGAAATCATGTCACTTAATCAATTTATTTTGTGTGGTGTATGTATATGTTTGTGGGTATGCATATACATGTGTGTGTAGATGTCGATGTCAGAAGTCAACCCTGGGTCTCTCTCAATCATTCTCTATCCTATCTATCTATCTATCTATCTATCTATCTATCTATCTATCTATCTA